TAGGATCAAAGGCGTGCACCCCCATGCCCAGCTTTCTTTCTTTCTTTGGTCTTTTTGAGACAGGGTCTCCTTGTAGCCCCATCTGACCTGGAACTCCCTATGTAGACCAGGCTGGCCTTGAACTCACAGAGATCTGCCTGCCTCTGCCTCCTGAGTGCTGGGATTAAAGGTGTGTGCCACCATGCCCGGCTTTTTTTTTTTTTTTTTTTTTTTTTTAAGGTGCTGCAGATAGAGCACAGGGCCACACATTCAAGTACTCTACTACTGACTCATATTCCCATATCTATAGGTCAGAGATCTGTTCATGGAGGCAGGTATGGTAGTGCACACCTGTAATCCCAGAACTTGGAAGAGGCAGAAGGATTGAAAGTTCAAAGCCAGCTTAGGCTATATATTAAAAAGTAGATCTATTCATGGGTTATAAATTCAGCTCACCTTTAGGGTGCTGAGAATTTAGCCACCATTGTCAATGAAACACAACAAAGAAACAAATAGTGTGCACCAACACACTGAAGATGTGCTGTGAACTCTCACTTCACTTGCTTCTAGGTATACTTGCACGTATAAAAACTGAGTCCATGGGCTGGAGAGATGGCTCAGTGGTTAAGAACACTGGTTTTTCTTTCAGAAGACCTGGGTTTGAATCCCAGCACCCACATGACAGCTAACAACTGTCGGTTAACTGCAGTCCCAGGGGATCTGACGGCCTCTTCTGACCTCCATGGGCACTGCATGACACGGGTGCGCTTACCTACATGCAGGCAATACACATAAAATAAAAATAATAAATAAAATTAAAAACAAAACAACAAAAACCAAAAAAAACCTGAGTCTTAGCTGGGTGTGGTGGCACACGCCTTTAATCCCAGCTCTTAGGAGGCAGAGGCAAAGGCAGGTGGATCTCTGTGAGTATGAGGCCAGCCTGGTCTACACAGCAAGTTCCAGGTCAGCTGGGGCTACGGGGAGACCCTGTCTCAAAAATACCAAAAAAAAAATAAATGAAACTGAATCCTTTATGTAAAATATTTCTTTTACATTTAAAAAAGATTTATTTGTATTTTCTGTGTCTGTGCATGTATGCCACATGTGTACAGGTGCCCAAAGAGGCCAGAAGAGGGTGTTGCATACCCTGGAGTTCAAGTTACAGGGAGTTGTGAACTGCCTGATGTAAGAACTGAACTTGTGTCCTCTGGAAGACCAACAAGCACCTTAATTCTGAGATATCTCACCAGTCCCCAAAATGCATTTCTAATTATGGGATATTGTCTAAAGAGCTTGACTATCACAGCCTTAGAGGAGCAACTGTCTCCAATGTTGGGGATGTGCATTCATGGACACTTGAGGGAAAACCTCAACAGCCCAACTGGCAGTGTGGAGGGAGAACATTTATAGAATATAATGATTGTAAAGGTTTAAGAAAAGTCACTGATTCAAAATATTTATTAAACATTTCCTCTTTCCTCACCTTAGTAAATAAAGCCCAGATCTCTGAGCTCAACATTCACTCTCTTTGGAGTTTCTACCTTTGTCTTTCATTTGTCGTTGCCTTTCTCCTTCAATCTAATCCTCCATACTCTCAGGCCTTTCCATTCTCTGTTCCAGTGTCCCTCTCCTCAGCCTAAGATGTCCTTAGTACCACTTGTCTCTCACTCCAGCATCTGGCCACATACTTGCTAGCTGGTGGTCAGCTTTTCTATTAGGTTACTTCTACTGCATCTGCCTGTAGGTGTAGACAGGGTCATGCTGTGCTCTGTTATCTCCCTGGGGTGCCTGGGGTCATGCTGTGTACTCAGCAGGTTCTCCGTACATTTTGGTTTCTTTTGAAATTTTTTTTTTAAAGACAAGGTTTCATGTAGCATACAATGGCCTAGAACTTCCTATGTACCAAGTATGACTTTGAACTTCTCATCCTCCTGCCTTCATCTTCCAAGAGCTGGGAGTACAGGAGGGTCCCACCTTGCATGGTTTATGTGGTTCTAGGGACAGAACCCAGGGGGGGTTCATGCATGCTCAGGCTACCAACTGGGCATATTACATCTCCAGCCCCTTAAAACATCTGTGAAAACAGCTAACGTCCATGTATTCACTACCTAATTTCAATCATTTCAACTAATGGCTGATCTTGCAAATTGCCAAATTTTTTGTTGTTTTGTTTTTTGTTGAGACAGGACAGAGTCTCCCTGTAGCCTCAGCTGGATAAGAACTTCCTATGTAGACTGGGCTGGCCTTGATCTTTCACAGATCTGCCTGCCTCTGCCTCCGCCTCCTGAGTACTGGGATTAAAGGCGTGCGCCACCACCACCAGCTAAGCTGCCAATTTTTAAAAGACAGTTTGTAGTGGGATGAGGTGGTCCGCTCTTGTAATTCTACCACTTGAGGCTGAGGCAGGAGGGTTACAAGTTGGAGGCCATACTGTATGTGTCTCACAGAGTCAGAGCTTGTCTTGTAAAAATAAAGGACAAGCTCTACTATATGGCTCTATAATCATGGGGCTTGCCAGTAACAGAGGCTCAGATGGAATCATACTAAATCAGATCTGGGATCTGCAGGAAGCAAAAGGTAACAGAACAGAACTATTTTGGGCTTGGGTTGTGGAGATGAGGCATCTAGAACAAAGCATGGTTTAGGTGTTACAAAAATCAAAACTTACTTGGTTAGAACTAATAGTCTAGAGGTTCCTGGTGTGTGAAGGAGCCTCCCAAAGTAAAGGATTCAAATACCAGTACAAAGAAATCTTAAGTCCCCAGTTCAAAATCATCATCCATCATTCATAATATTGTCAGCAACTTGATACACTGTGGTGCTCCAGAGAGAATGAGAACTGGCCCCAGAAATGAATAAAATTTAAAGGAGAACCAATGAGTAAGAAAATGTAGCCAGGCGTGGTGGCGCACGCCTTTAGTCCCAGCACTTGGGAGGCAGAGGCAGGAGGACCTCTGTGAGTTTGAGGCCAGCCTGGTCTACATATTGAGTTCCTGGTCAGCTGGAGCTACAGGGAGACCCTGTCTCAAAAAGACCAAAAAAACAAAAGAAAGAAAGAAAATGTAAATGCAGACTGGCGAGATGGGTCAGTAGTTAAGAGCATGTACTGTAGCCAGGCCGTGGTGGTACACGCCTTTAGTCCCAGCAGAGGTAGATCTCTGTGAGTTCAAGGTCAGCCCCCCGCCCCCTAAAAAACCCAGACTAAGTACTAAATAATGAACAAACAATGCACAAAACATCATAGTCTTTTTCTTCCACACCAAACCCTTGGACATCAAAATCATAAAGGTTGGGGACAGGCGGGTGGCGGCAGTGCATGTCTAGAATCCCAGTACTTTGGAGGCTGAGGCCAGAGTACCTTGAATTTGAGGCCAGCTTGAGCTACAAAGCAAGTCCCATGCTAGCAACACTGGGCGGTGAGACTCTTGTTGTACATACCTTTAACCCCAGGACTTGGAAGGTAGAAGCAGGGGGAATCCCTGTGAGTTAAAGGCTAGCCAGCCAGAACTACACAGTGGGACCCTATCTCAACCCCCCTCAAAAATAAATTAAAAAACAGAAAATAATAACAAGAAGAACAAAATTTCAGAATTCAAATATGTGCTGGTCTTTGGGTAAGATCCTAGAGCTACTATCTTGATCTGAGATGCCTCTCCCACCGGAGGCTTTATTTTTTACTATCTGTGTGTGAGTGAACACGGGCACAAGCATGCCATGGTGCCTATGTGGTGGTCCGAGGACAACCTTCTGGGTCGGTTTCTGACTTCCACCTTGCAGGGTATCTTGTTTGTTATGTTGCATTACCCAGGTTAGCTAGCTCACCAGTTACTGATCTCCCATTTCACTGCAGGAGTTCTGGGATTACAGCATGCTACCACATCTAGCTTTTTATGTGGGTTCAGGGAGTGAACTTGGGTTGTCAGGCTTGCACGGCTAGCACTTTTACGTGCTGAGCCATCTCTCTGGCCCCCACTGGAGATTTCAATTACTTGCCACTTTGCTGTCTACCTCTCTATCTGCTTCATCAGTTCCTGGGCTGTCAGCTTTGCTGTCCTTGAGACTCTTCTACTGATATTCTCAAGATTCTTATTTAGGTTACAGCTACTAAAAACTCCATAGGTAGTTCTAATGAATAATCAGGACTAATGACCACTGATTTGACTCCATGTCATCTATGCTTTTGTCTTCATAATTTTATATTCTTATATCACATTGTGGTTATCTGTGTGTTTACCTTTCTTACTATATCTATGCTACAGATGACCTTACAAACAATGCATGCAGCCCTTATTAACTGATCTTTTCTAAAATAACACACAAAAACAAAAAACATGCCTCACCAACAGCACTGTGTGATGTTCACACAATGAACAGCCCACAAGAACTAGAAAGAATGACCCTACAGGAGATACACATCTTCCATCTCACACCCACCTCTGAGCATATGTTCCTCATATCCTCCAGTGGGTGCAATCACCCACACCACTTAAAAACTACTTTTTGTCAAGGATTCAGGGCTGAATTCATGTGATAAACGTCAGAACAATTACATCAAACCCAAGTGAGCCCTCCTCTTCCTTTCTCTGCCCCATAAGCAGTTGGCCAGGCTCTCTTTCAAGGACTTCCCTCTCAAAGGCTACTACCTACGACTCTATCTTTGGTACTTCTCATTAACTCTTTTCCCCAGGGCTCTTGGTCCTACTCAGAACTCTTGAGTCATTACATAAAATGGTGAAACTTCTTTCCCTAAGGGGAGATGTGGCCTGAGAAATTCCTTTACATTCACTGTGAGGGAGGCTAGGCAAAGAAAGAACTCATCTAGGGAGCTGGGTTTGTAGGGTACAAAGGAACACAATAAATGTGTAATACTTCTTTTAGGAATGAACAAATATAAAAGAATGGAACTTCTGCCAGCTTGCAAGGGACCCTCCCTGTCTCTAAGATATAACCCAAGGCCTAGATTTCACCTGCTCATCTGATATCCCATGCCAGGCCTTCTACACCAAGCCACAAAAAGCTCAGCAGTGCTCACAGGCCTTTAATCCACAACTTCCTGGTCACATTCCATCCATACCCCGGGATGGCAGGGAAGGATGATAATGTATGTAGGCAACATCACACATCCAAGAGGGAACGGCTGGAGTCAGACTGAGGCCTGGGCTGGGAGGTCCCGGCCCCAGGCGATGAGGGAGTTGCTTGCCTGGGCAAGCTCAGTGATGGACACCCGGCCCCGCTGTCGGATGAAATTTGCCACCGCAGCCAGTTCCTCTGGGGTTATGTAGATGAACTTGCCCCGGTCGTCAATCACACCTGTGGGGACATGCAGGTTGTGGGGTTGAGTTCTCCTGAGCCCTCCACCTAGTTTGAAAATGCCCACCTATTCCTTCATAATTGGCTTAGAGCCTTCCAGTTCACCTATCAGCTTGGCCTTCCCTGGGTACATCCATTCCCAGCGAGACAGGTCATATCAATCTTCCTTTACCCTACAGCTAGGCCCAGGCTTCTATGTGTCTTCCTTTTAATATAAGTCCAATTCCTTGATGTCCCTCCCCAACCTGGAATGGCAACAAGACCCTGTGCCACACATTCCCCAAGGTCAGAGCCTATAGTGATTGGTTCTCATTCTCTCACCTGTTAGAGTCCCCTCAGCCAGCAGGTTCTGGATACGGTTTATGGTGTCCTATGAGGAAAACAATTCTCAAAGCAGAGACAGGTGGTTCCCACCTCCCACAAATACCTGTAAACCCTCTCCTACTATAGTCAAATTTCTTCCTTTCCCTATCATGCCTTTCTGCTGGTGTGACTCCATGCTTCTCCCCAGAGGGACTCAGTACAAGAGGCTCTAGTCTTAGGCCTTTCCAGACCTTCAACAGAGGGTCTCTTCTAGTTGGGGAAGGAACAGTGGAGATCTTTGGTCACGAAAAGCTGTTTGCAAGAGCTGTTAAGGTAACCGGATTTGGGCTGTTCTGAGGTAT